CTTTAAAAGAGATGAACTAATATTTGTAATGAACTTTTTGAGGATAGTATTCTCTCTCTCTCTCTCTCTCTCTCTCTCTCTCTCTAACCAGTTATTAGTAAATAAAATAAAAAGAGAGATATTTGAAGTAAAATAACTAATAAAATAAAATATAAAATGAGAACTTTATAAATGAAAAATATCATTTTAAAGGAAATATTATTTGAAAAAACCATAACATTCGCTACAGATTTATCGATAGGATTAATAACAATAATCTTATGGCTTTAATAAGTAGTTACCAAACACTAAATTAAAAATATAAAACTTTGTTTTGTTTTATTTTAAGTCATATATAACTTTATAGGTACTTTCTTCTCTCTCTCTCTCTCTCTCCGGGTATTCAATGAGCGAAAACTGGTTTTGTTTTGTACTCTCTTTTTGTACACATAATAAAATTCTCTCTCTCTCTCTCTCTCTCTCTCTCTCTCTCTCGGCAGACGCTTTTATTATGTGTACAAAAAGAGAGTACAAAACAAAACCAGTTTTCGCTCATTGAATACCCGGAGAGAAAGGTATTCATACAAAATGTAAAGAAAGTATACGTTTAAAAATATCCGCCCAATCAATGGTCGGGACCTAAACAGACGGCTCAACAGATAGAGGGCTGAAGAGCTCTTTGTGTATCTTATTGTCGGTTCCGTTACTTCTCTGATACACATCCCTATTATCTTTGTCTCACAAATGCACACATAAACCCTGGACTCCCAGTCCTTCAGCTATTTATACACACGTCTAATGTCTGTGTTTCCGATATTAAGATAATTTATTGATTAGTTTTAGTGATAATAACGTTATATTTCTGAGAAATATACATTGAGTTTATGTGGCGAAATGTTCACCTGGTGTTTAAGCATTGAGTCCCAACCATAACAGGCCATACCAGTGGCTCATCGCACACATACGGGATTGTATTCGAGATTATATACAGTATTTTGATCTTGTATTTCAAGTTTACGTACAATTTCATCGCTTGGGTTATTGTAAAAGTACTGTTGACTTGTCGTATCTGAATCTGTATGTGTATGTATCGGCCCAACAGCTCAACCAACGAATCGGTCAATGGATTGTTATGTTAATTATGTTTAGCACTCAAACTAAACCACTCTTTCAGAGCTAACAAATCTATTATAAGGTGTGAGACATCGGGTGTGAGAATAAAAATACAACTCATTTTCAAAAGTTATTTTGTATGCAATCGAGTGGTAATTAACTGTATATAATATACGCCTATTTTTCATAATTTTGTTGCCTATTGTGTGAGTCAGCTGTACTTTAAAAGTGTTTTTTTGGTTAAACACTAGGTATTAAAACAAAGTTTTAAAACTTTACGACAAAAAAACTTAATTATAGTTTTTATTATTATTGGCCGAAAAAATATTACATTATTTGTGTCCAAAAGTGTGAAATTGAGGCAAAATAATACGACAATTATAAATCAGCGAAACAAAACAAAAATAAATGTGTTTTTTATTTATTTTTTGTTGAAATCAACTAATATTTACTTACAATAAGTGTGTATAAGTATAAGTGTGTATACGTTGTCTGTAATGCCAGTAAAACGTAATGCCATTTGATTTGATGGTATGTTTTTTGCGCGAGTAATACAAGGTTAACAAGGACAACCAATTTCATTTATATATAACGTGTGTACAGTGTATATACAGTATATTCTTAAGTATAATTTAAGTACACTATACACTGTATATATACGCTGTGTATAAATATATTTTCTTATGTATTGAAAAATATATGAAAATTTTAATAAAAATTTCATACTTTTTCTGAAAGATCTGCTCATTTAACTCAAGTTTTTTATTGACGGCAAACTTGTCCTCCAGTTTTGTATTTGTGGAAAGTTTTATATATAAGTGTTTTGTGCTCTTATAGTATGCGTTAAGAGATATATATTTATATATTAAGTGAAAGTGTTTGAGAAATACTGTTTTGAGAGGAAGAGAAAAACAGAGGAAAATAAGAAAGTGAGAGAAAATTATTACATTTCTTGCCATATATTCATTGAATTTCAATGACTTGCAGTGAATGTTATCTCACTTTTAATAGCGATTTCATTACTTGTATTTTCACTACTGTTTCCTTCGCTCTCTTGTGCTAAACATATCGATATTTTTAATATAACTTTTGGTTTCAAAAAAGTTATTTAAAAAGATATAATACTTTTTCATTGAGTGTTTTTGTGATCATCAATACAATTGTCTGAATTCATTATTGACTTATTCTTTTGGTATTGAATTGTGTGTAAAATTAACTTCTCATTCAATAAAAGTCATACAATAATAAAATAATTTCTATTAAAAGTTATTATTGTTAAGAAGAAATCAATTTATAAACCCTTTATATATCGTATGTATTCTTACGATACGATTGAATGTGAATTAATCGGAAATTGTGCTCAAAATTTTGTTTCCCATATTATTTTCGTCAATAATGTCTACAAATAATATGTTTATTGTCGACAAACCTGTGCTAACTTTACCGTAAGCTATCATTTTGCAATTTATTTTAATACAAGTGTGTATTTATAGTTTATAATGAATTTTATTATATCTAAAGTTACCTTATTATGCATTTAAACTGGTATTAATAGTGGTATTAATGTATTTAAGTATATAAATTATTTCCTAATTGTTTGCACAATAATAAACAGATTTCTCTCATA